TCTCTCTTGTGTTCGTAAATAAAATAGTTGTCATTTTCTATAGTATGTCAGTTATGTGCCATGTGTGATACACGCTTAGGCGATCATGTAGCTTTCGATACATGACTGACGAAGCAGATTTTTTATCCCGCAATAGCTTACCATTTCTTTCTGCGGTAGACCAGTTGCCATCCAATGCGATAGAACCCATTCTGTCCTGCTATTTACCCATAGCTGGGGAGAAGAAGAGGATTCATATGTTTCACAGGGTTATTAGCGCGTAACTGAATGTAATGGATTCGACTGGAATTCGAACTCGACTCTCCGATTCCTCCGTCCGAGCCGCTATCCATGTACGGATGGATTATATTTTTAAGCTGAACTAGCCATTAAAAATAGACTCTGTGAAACCGTTCTATATATGCTATCACTTTCACGATACACACGGATATTTAAATTCGACATGTAACATTTAAAAATGCCAGGATGTAGCTAACAATTCTTCTTTAAGATATGGACAACATTTAGTTCCTGATAATGACCGAGACGGTCGGAAGTCAGTTCGTCTGTCAGTTGAGCGTTATACGTGATACACGCTTAGACGATCATGTGGCTTTCGATTCATGTCTGACTAGGCAGAAGATTTTCCCGCAGCATTGTTTCCCACCTTCTGAAAACTTCCTCGTTACTCACATGTTCCGTCCGTGTTATTCTCAGCATCTTTCTGTAGAACTACATCAACTAAAACTTAAATAATGTAAATGATTACAATACGTCATCACCGAAATATAGTCAGATATTCGTCCTCATATATGGCAGTGTTACCATTTCTTTCTGCGATATACTGGTTGCTAACTAAGGCTATATGATGCAGTCTCACCTGCTATTTATCCCATAGATTGGGGAAGCATAGATAGATGCATATCTTTCCCAAGGATATATTTCCCGTAAGTAAATGTGACGAATCCAAATTGAATTCGAACTCGGCTCTGCGGTTTCTAATGCCGAGTCGTTAATCATCACACCACCCGCGCATTCTCTTTTTTTTTACGTGATTCTAAAATCGTCATTTTTTTCTAAGCAAAGTCGTAAGAAAATTCCGTTAGAAATAAAGAAGAAAATGCTAAACTATTACATAATATCAATTCTCATTATTTACACTGTTCGGACTGTTGTCCTCGTCTTTATTGCCGTATTCACGACGTTTCGGTCGTTGTACGCCCCGGCCTTGTTCAGGTGATTGGAATTTCGAACTGAACCCTTCAACAGGTGAAACGTCGTGAATATGCCAATAAAGATGGTGACAACAGCCCAAGCAATGTAAATAATATAATTACGATACCTCATTTCACAAATATAGAATACCATTACTCATATATGACAGTGAATGCTGTGCAATTTCCACAGAGCTGAAGAAGAGACTTAAGGCGACAAAGAAGTAGTTCTACAAAAAGATGATGAGAATAATACGGACGGAACATATGGGTAACGTGGACGTTTTAAGAAAAGTGGAAACAAAATGGACGCTTATATTTAGAATCAGAAAGAAACATTTGAAATTTCTGAGACACATCACGAGGAAAGAGAGCATGGATAATTTTACACTCACAGAATGCATAATGGAAGGCAGTGACTGAGCTATCTAACGAGCTTGTGTACATGGATCGCAGAGGAGGGACCGGAAGTGATGGTGAAAAGGCAATACAAGAGCGACAAAGGATAAGAGGTTGTGGGGAGCCATCATCATCTATGTTCTGAAGGAAGATACCGCATAGAAGATAAATATTTTGTAAATTGATTAAGGATTTTATTAACGGAAATTATTCAATATTTGTTTATTAAGAAAATAAGAAATCGTTGGAACCGAAGGAAATAGTATGAGCTGTTACGTAATACCAGTCCTTCTCTATGGCAGTGAATGCTGGAGAATTTCCTCACAGACAAAGAAGAGATGTGAAGCAACAGAAACAAAGAGTACTGAACTG